GTGCGTGTGTGCCCAAGATCTCAAGAGGAGAATGGAGGAGAAGGGATTGCGGCATGGCCATTCCCTCTGGGGGGTGATTTCTAGCTTACTGTCTGTCTGAATCTCTCTGTCTTCCTGGAGAGCGCACTCACCGTATAGCAAAAACCTCTTAAAAACAGGGGGGCTGGCAGGTGGCATGGTTGCTAAGGACTCTGGACTCCTATGTGTCCATTTGCAGTTGAAGCACTGGACCTGGCGGCTTGCTGTCTCACTTTCTCATGATCTCTCTCAGTCTGTCCTTCTCTGGTCAAATGTAAATAAACAAAGTTCAATAAAATATTTCTTTTTTTCTAATTTTATTTATTCGTTTCTTTAATTTTACCAGAGAGAGACACACGTGTATTGAGAGAGAGAGAGAGAGAGAGAAAGAGAACAAGCCACCAGGTCCAGGACTCAAACTGTTGTAGGCCACATGGGAATGTCCAGCACCTAACCACCACGCCACCTGCTGGTTCCCAGCAAAATATTTCTTTAAGAAAATAATAAATAAAATTAAATTACTCTTTAAAAAAATACACCAGTCATCATGGTGTTAGCATAACTGTAACACATCCTCTCTTGATGGAGATGTAGTGGTGTGGAGTGTATTTTACCATAACAAAAGAGCCCAGTGAGGAACAGATACCCCGCCCCGCCCCTGAGTCATTTAGCAGTGAGGGCCTTTGTCCCTGGGTGCCCCCCTTAGAGGCGCCACACACACCACCCTTAGTGAAGGCTTCCTTGCTTGGAGCTTTTTCCCTTTGGCCTTCTATATAGGCTTTGTCTTTTTTCTTTTTTTTTTAATAGTTTTTTTGCTGTAGGGTGCATGTGCTCATAGAAGAGAGGAAAACTAAGAAATGATCCCCATGTCAGGATGACCACATTGTAATCCCTCTCAGGATTTCGGGCAGGCACTTGCCCTGTGTGTTTTTCAGGCTGCTGTGTTTAGGACTCAAACTATGCAGTTGGCCGTGTGGGTCGCGTCTCCTTAACCTACATGCTACCAGCTGGTCCTATGTTTTGTCTTAGCACTCATTACAGCAGAATCATCTGTGTCCCCTGCTAGAATCTGAGCCCGACTCTCCTTTGTAAGCCAGGACCCGACACGTGGTAGGTACACGTGACCACTGGAGCGTGTGAGTGCCAGGTGGTTGCTGAGCTCTCCTGCCTCAGCTCTTAGAATTCTAGAAACCTAAGGTTCTGTTCTTTGGTCCTGGGCAGCTAAAGATGTGATTAAAGAGATCGAAGACTTTGCTGACTTGGAGGCTCTGCGCCTGGAGGGCAACACCGTGGGCGTGGAAGCAGCTAAAGTCATCGCCAAGGCCTTGGAGAAGAAGTCGGAGCTTAAGGTGAGTCCACTGGGCAAGCAGCCCGTGCTAGCTGGGGACGAGCCGCTGCTCACATTGCCATGACCCCTGCCTGTGTCCAGACTCTCGGGGACCCCTGCTTTGTTGATAGTCACATGAAGGGATCAGCTTCTTTTCCTCTGCCCTCCCCAGAGCACCCAACACTGGCCAGGGCCTTCTGCTGCAGAGCAGACTCTGAGATGGTGGTCGGAGTGTGGGAGGTCTATTGGGGTAACCCTTGTGAAAGACGAAGGGCACACTCTCAGTGTCAGCTCACAGCACAGGTCTGACACTGAGGAGGGGTGGATGCATATTAGCCGACAGGAACCTCTGCCTGGGAGGCATTTCTGACAGACCCACCCAGCCGGAGCCCCAAAGCAGAGATTGCCCATTTGAAGGTGTCTCTCGTGGTGGACAGAAACGGCCAGACGTTGGCTCAGATGCTGTGATGGATTGGGAAGGCATGAACTACTCCTCACAGCCGAGGCAGATTTTTCTTGAAGGTCAGATCCTAGTGGTGCCTGTCCATGCTCAACAGAAAGGGCAGTTCTGATGCTTCTCTCCCAGAGTTCCCAAAGTGGGTTCTATTGAACACGTCTTTCAACATGCTCTTTGAGAAAAGCTCTTTGTTAAAAATGCCAGAGATGTGTCACTGTATGTCCTCCTCCCATGGAATCTTAGCGTATATTAGTATATTAAAATCTGAAAAGTCTTGAGAGAAACCTGTTTTGCAGACTGGAATCATGTCTCAATATGGACAGGTGGTCCCTGACTCACAGTGGTTTAACTTCACGTTTTTGACTTCACAACGGGTCCAGTGGACTTGGCCCCATCGCAAGTTGAAGAGCATCTGGCCAGGGCTAGGATTGTGCTTGGCTCTTCTGCGTGCGTCCCTGAACTCTCACAACCACCCAGCAAAAGCTGTCTCCAGTTTATGCAAGTCAAGGGAAGTGGCATTCAGAGGGGCTTGTGAAGTAGCCCAGCGTGCTGACGCGTATATGTGGCCGAGCCCTAGTTTTGCACTCGAAGGCCTTGTTCTTTCTGTGGTACTAACCACTGTGCTTTCTGCAGGAGAAGTAATACCGGCCAGAACGCTGAGAGCCGTGGGTTTGCCTGGAAAGGCCCACGAGCCAGCTTATAAGTGGCCCTTGGTGTTTGTCCCCTTTAGGGGGGTCATGGGCAGATTTATAGCCAGGGTAGTGCTTGTTTCCGCTCTCCTGCCCAGGGACTGCAATTTCCCTCGCGTAAGCTGGGTCATTTCCTCCTGCAGAAGAACAGAAGGTCTCCCATGACCTGTGAAGGGAGAGTGGGAATGAAGGAGCTGTGGGCCCGGATGCTGCAGAGCCTGGTGGGAGCTAAGCGTCAGCGTCCAGGCCTGGGCTCAAGTTGCTGCACCCTCACCTTGTCTGCCTTCCCTGGCCTTTCCCTGAGCCCAGCTCTGGGGCTGGCTTCTTTATGAAGCAGAGCTCCATCTCCTTCAGAGGTGGGCCTGAGAGGGCATGGCCAGTGAGTCCTACATATATTTTGTCACATGGTATAGACCTGCACCTTGAGCAAATCCCCTCACACTCCCGCCTCATCACTACAGACAGGCCTGTCGCTGTGCAGGTGGGAGCCAGGGCAGGGCAGTGAGAGCTGCCCTCAATGACCCAGTGTTCTGGGCCTGATGCTGGTCAAGATAAGGTGTTTCTGTTTTGTTTTGTTTTGTTTTGGAGAGGTTTTTGCTATAGGGCGCATGCGCTTGCCAGACAGACAGAGAGAGACAGAGAAACAGAAAGCGAGAAATCACCCCCCCCAGGGGGGATGGCCACGCCGCAATCCCTTCTCCTCCATTCTCCTCTCTGGATCTTGGACATGCACGCACACACACCTGGCGTGAGTTTTAAGCCACCAGGTCCGGGACTCGAACCGCGGTCGACTATGTGGGAGTCCAGTGACATAGCCATTACGCTAACTGCTGGTCCCCAAGATAAGATGTTTTATTAAAATAATAACCTCGGGGCAGGCAGGTGGCGTGGTGGTTAGGGGTGCTGGACTCTGCTGGCCAATGCGGTTCAAGTCCTGGACCTGATGGCTTGCTTTCTCACTTTCTCTCTCATACTCTGTCCCTTTCTAGTCAAATTAAAATAAATAGAATTAAATAAAATAGTTAAAAAGAATAGTGACCTCCTTGATTTTGAATCTTGTTTATTTTCCTGTTCCTTTGTCACTAGAATCAGGTCACATGTCCAGACAGAGGGATGGTGAGATCAGGGGTTTTCCTGGCACTTCTGAATCCCCACAGATCTCGAGGATTTGAGGATGGGACACTAGGTCCCGCCAACTTCGGCTATGTAGGTTGAGCTGATGTCCAAATTAAGAAGCCTTGCAGCACTCAGCAGTCCAAGTCCACAAGGAGGAGGCACTGCCTCTGAGGGTCTCTCGCTAATGCTGCTCTCCTTCCCCATGCCACAGCGATGCCACTGGAGCGACATGTTCACTGGGAGGCTGCGGTCCGAGATCCCACCAGCCCTGGTAAGTGATGAGCTGCTGCCCAGCTGGTCCCCTGCCCTAGGCATCACCAGGCCCGCCAGAGCCTGGTCGGTGTGCTGGCAGGAGGACAGGTGGGGGTGCAGGTGCTGTCAGGGAGGACACAGGTGGGAAAAGGCCGAGCCGAAAGCTGCGATTCCCGAGTTTATCCTGAGCTGTGTGGTCGGGCTCATGCTGGACTTCGCCCTTCCATGCCGACTTCTCCTCGTGCCTCCTCCGTCTGCACACAGCCCTGTGGCCGCCGCTTCCCCTGTCTTTCTCCACACTGCTCTTGCTTTGGACCTCATGCTGGGCAGCTTCCCGCTGCCCCTGCTTTCCACACACCCATTTCTAGGGCTCAGATTGGTGTGGGTCAGGTTCTCAGCTTCCGTGTCCCTGTGCACCTGTATATGTGCATGTGAGGGGCTGCGGGAGTGCCCCCAGAACAGAACAAGGCATGCCCAGGCCTTGAGGGAAAGTGGCAGGGCTGGCAGCATCAGTGTGTCGGCATACCGCAGGCCCTGCTCATCACGGGCCCTTGGGGCAGGTGTCTGGGCATGAATGTGATTGAGCCCCTTAGCCTGGTCCTGCTGGGCTTCCTTCTCAAGCTCTTGCCCACGTGACCAACACTGGCTGTCAGGGGTGCCATGTGCCAACTTCACTTGTGAAGAGCCTCAGTCAGCCACTACCTCAGGCTCATCGAGAGCCACAGGTGCCATGATGGTCCCAGAGGGAGGCTCCCTGTGGGCGACTGTGGAAGCCCTCAGTGTTGGAGTTAGTGCCCAGCCTCGAAGGGTGAGACAGGCCAGGCAAGGCTAGGATTTAGAATGTAGGTTAAGTAAATAAATCTACTTGTAACTAAAAGGATTTCAAGTTAGAAAAGAGGAGGAAAACTGGTTGCAGAATACTGAGGGACTTTCACTGTGCACGTTTTACCTAATGTTAGTGTCTGTTTCCTCAGCTTTAGAAAGGTTTTCCTATCTCCACATCCCCAATGGCAAGAGTGAGTCTTAAGAGGGGGATGAGAGGATTCGGGGTCAGAGAAAGGCAGAGCGCAGGGCAGGTGCTGTGGGCCCAGGGTATGTGAGCACCTCTGACTGTGTGAAGGCTGGCGTGCCCACCTTGTGTGGGCAAGGTGGCCGCTGTTCACTGAGTGCTGGGAGGACAGCAGAAACCACCTCAGCTCCCAGGCCCTGCTGGGCAAGGGCAGGACATCTCCCGCCCCCGGCATTCC